TTCTCTTCATTCCCCGTCCCTCGCCCTTCGACTCCGCATCTCCTCCGCACACACACACACAGCCTATTGTCTGGCATCTTCCTCTCTTCTCCATACATCCCCCTTGCCCCTCCCAGCCTTCCTTTCCCGATGCCCCTCCTTAACAACCACCCCCTTCTCCTTACCTCCGTGGCTCCCCACCCTCCCTCATCCCACGTCCAGGCGATGAGGAAGAGAAGCAATAGGAGGAGGAAGACGAAGACGTCGACCAGGGCGACAACAGCATCGACGAGAACGAAGGGCAACGACGAGGACGAAGGGCGACGACCACGACGAGGGCGGCGAGGACGAGGACGATGACGTTGATTGCGTCCCGCCGGTACGAGCCAGAAGACGGGCACGCACATGCTGGCTTCTGCCTTTTGTCCTTCGTGCGCTTGCTCCATCCACCCCCTCCTTCTTCATTTACATTCCTTTCGCAATATCTTCCTCCTTCCTTTCTCTCTCTTTCTTTCTCTAGTTCTACCTCTCGCTGTCTCTCTTCCTCTCCCTCTCTCTCTCTCTTTCTCTTCCTCCCTCTCTACACATTTATGTCTGTAACTCTGACTATCTCTATATTCCTCTTCCTATATATTTACAGACTGGGGGGGGGAAAACCCCCCACCGGACCCCCAGGATCCAGGCTTTCTGGACCCCTGGACACCCTTGCCAAAGGTCCCCCGGCTCGTCCTGGACCTCCCAGGGCACTTAGCTGGGTCTTGCCAGCAGACCCAAGCGATCAGAGCGCTGATCAAAGAGGCCCAAGACATACCCAAGACAGCACGAGCGCTCAAAGAAGGACCCAGATGGCCTCCAGAGGCCACCAAAACGGCCCAGGAGGCCCTCAACAGGACTCCCAGAACGCAGAAGTCGTTTTATTCCCTTGGGGAACCGTGCATTTTCAGCAGATTCGCTGTTCCAATCTTACAAGCGTCCAGAACAGCCAAAAAGGCTTCCGGTATCGACCCAAGACGGCCAAAGAGACCCCCAAGAGAGCCTCCAGACGGCCTGGATGGCCCCAAGACTGCCCAAAGAAGCGCCAAATTTCCCAAAAAGAGGCCCTCAAAAGGCCCCCACAAGAAGCCCACTAAGGCCATGGGAGGCTCCCAAACAGGCCATGGGAGGCCACCAGGAGGGCCCACGCAGCCCCCGCAAGGTCCCCAGAGGACCCAAGCTCCCCAACACGGCCTAAGATGGCCCCAGGACGGCTCAAGAGGGCCCCGAGCCGGCCCACCAGGGCTCCAACAAGGCCCACACGGCGTTTGTCACCAAACTGACCCGAATCCCGGGTTCGCAACCCCATTTCCCGGAAATCTGTTGCGAACCCAGGATTCGGTGCAATCTCCAAGAATTATTTATTCTCTCGTGTCCCATTGCGACCCGCTGACCTCGGCTTGGCATTGCTCTGTCTTTTGCGGCATTGCTTGACATTGCGCCGGTTTGTTTGGCATTCATTCGCATGGTTTGCCAGTCCTTCGCATTGCGCACCAGGGCACCTGAGCCACGAGCGGGCCAATGTGCGGGCCTACGAAGCCTTGTTGTCCTCATTCACTGCCAGACGTGTCTGCAAGCGTGTGCGTACACATGAAGCCGTAGCCGTTGGCTTACGTTTTTCGGCGCCCGCATGCGCCACATCCCCCACGTCTGTACGCAGTTGCTCTGAGTTTGGCTAAACCCTGCCTGCAGCTGCATTTTCCAGAACACAAATGCAGCAGTCCAATCGAGCCTGCAACTCCTCTGCCAGTAAGTGGGAGACAATCGCGGTCGACCCTCAAACAAGATCTCTTGCAATGCACCCGCTGCGAGGAGCTTCGCGAATGAAGCCACTTCAGCAATGGCCAGCTTCACCAATCCACTCGGACCTGCAAGTCCTGTGCCACTCGGCGGGTGGGCGGCCGCCCCAATCAAGACCTCCTCTCCTGCACGCGCTGCGGAGAGCTCCGAGACAAGACCCACTTCGGCGCCGGACAATTCAAAGCACGCAACACGACGCGGGCTTGCAGCGCGCGCACCACGCCCAGTGGAAACCGCTCCACGCCCCCAGGCTGCCAATCCCTTTCGCTTAGGCTCCGGGACTGCATCTGTAGTCACTGCGGCGTCGTCCGATTCTCCACAGAATACTCGGGCTTCAAATGTCAGCTCGGTAAGCACGCGATCGATTTCAACAGGTATTTCTCAGAGCCCGGGCCAACCCTTCTCCAACTCTACCGACGCGAAGGTTTCAACGCCCATGCACGGGCATACAACAACCTTGTCGGACTCGCCGTGCATTACATTCAGTCCAGTACTTCGGAGCGGGAAACACTTCTCCCCGCACAAGCCGTCTTTCATGATATCCCACGGGACGGTGTACCGGAAAACGTGGACCGCCGAGGGATCCAATTCGGTTCGGTACATTGTCGTTGACCCGCAGATCCAGTCGCACACGGCTGCCCGTTTGCAACTCAATCCACAAAGTGTCCGCGCCCTGGAACGTCACGTCCTCCACGCGAACCCGTACATGACGGCCATTCGCAAGCTCACCTCCCCCACCACGTCGCGCTGCCTTGACAGACTTCGGCAGCTCGACAGGGACGAAGGCACGCAGGAAATTGCTGCTATACTGGTGGCGCTCGCACGTATCCTCGATCATTGTTTTCCGTCGTCACAAATCCGAGCAGTACGATCCCATCCCTCCATTCAGTAAGCTCTACGAGCCAGTTTCCAACTTGGGCTTGCGCGAAAGACCAACAGATGCAAAGCCTCAAGAACCAAGCTGCACGGCGCGAAGCGCCAATGCAGTTCTTGTGTATGTGTATACATAAATGTATATATAACAGCAGATCACATCATGTCATATCATATCAAACCATAACATGTCAAACCATGGAAGAGCATATCATAGTATAGCAAAAAGAGCATAGCATCGCATATCGTACCATAACATATCATTTGTACATATCCTTCCCTTTTCCCCAACCCTTTTTATAAAATTGCTTGCAGCGCTGCTCCGGGCAATTTCATCCGCAGGAAGCCGAAGAAGGGGCCACGGCGGTGGTGGTTCACAGCAGTCGAGGCTCAGCCCCCACGTTTCACTCGTCTTCCGTTTTTTCCCCTGGAGGGGCGTGAGGAATGTCGTCATCCTTGTAGCATTGGTTGTTTGCCTTGGGTTGAGAAGCATGTTTTGGCCTCGCTCGGCGGATTCGGTCTCTCCCCACATTTCCCTGAAGATTCCACCAGAAGACCGCGGAGGCTCCCCGGACCTCGCTGGGGCTTGGGGAGACTAGAAGGAGAAGGAGCAGGAAGTGGGCGACGACGACGACGAGGGGGACAGAGCAGGGAGGACCCAGCAGGACAGAGTCAGGAGGCGGAGGAGGAGGGGGAGGCCGAGGGAATGTGAATAGGAATGGCAGTGGGATCAATGACCTTGTCTTACTAGAACTACAGCACACGTGCCCTGAGTTCGCGGAGCAGCAAGGCGACATGGAAGAGCACGCGCACGCACCGGAAGACGAATTCCACGAAATACCACGGTTGGCAAGACAACCTCCAAGATTTGAGCGAATGCGGAATAAGACGGCCCAGCCAGGAAACATTGCAACCAGCACAACGCACACTTGGAAGCCAGTGAGCAACGAGTTGAAGATGAACAAATACCAGCCACCTCGAGTTGCAGGATGAGGGCGAGGAAAACCACTGACCACGAGAGGCTCGACCCGAAACACTAGTACCACCACGCGGATGAGCATGGTAAAATCGAAATAGTACTGAACGACGCGTGGAATTGCAGGAATGCGCTTCAGCGAGCGCAATAAAAAAATCCATGCCAAACCCAGCAAATTGAAGCTCTACTCAACGAATTCGATCAGTCTCGCCATCCGACAGCGGCTGATATGACACGGTCGCGGCAGGAGTCGGAGCCCCCCAAGCGCCACGTGAAGGCATTGGACAAGATCAGGGGTGAGGAGGAGGGGTCCGAAGCCATGAAATGGCCTCGCGGCGAGATTTGATTGACTGCGTTTTCCGCTTCGAGCTTCAGCTCCTTGGGTGGCTTTCAAGCCAGAGAGCGGGGTGATTGAGCTACCCTCTCCTTTCTCACATTTCCCGTGCTCCCTCGATTCCCTCTCCGTGCTCGTCGCTACGTATTTCTGATATGTGCCATCCACCTCTCCAAGGATTATCCCTCCATCCATCCACCCCCCTACCAATGCAAAACATGATACTGATAACCGAACTTGTCTCCCTTCCCGAGATAAGCGTCTATATCATCCTCCTCATCCTCCTCCTTCTCCTCCTGCTCTTCGCCATCATCATCGTCATCGTCGTCGTCATCATGATCATCACCATCATCATCATGAGCATCATCACCATCGTCAAGAAAATCAACATCATCAACATCATTATCCTCATCATTCCCTACACGCACCGTCATTCCCCTCGTGTTCTTCCTCATCCTTCCCACGGTCCTGATCCTCCCACCTCCACATCCTCCTCCTCCTCCTCCTCTTCCTTCTCCTCCTCCTTCTCCTCCGCCTCCGCCCCCGCCTCCGCCCCCGCCTCGGCCTCCTCTGTCGCCTCACCCTTACTGGCCTCTGCCCCCTGCTCTACCCACGCGGTCCCCCCCCTTCCGACTCAGCTTCCTCTCGTGCCCCCCGTGAGGGACGACCTCTGCCCGGCGAAGCCGAGGGTCTTCCTGCGGCTCGACTTATGACGGGGAGGTTGCCGCCGCTTCCCGCAGCGGGCCTTGGGGGGGGGGCGACGGCGCACCGCGCGGCGGACACGGGAGAGCACGTACGAAGGATGATGAAATGCTGCGAGGGTGACGAAACTTTCGCAGAGGTTCTCAGCTTCTGGGAGGAGGAGGGGGGGAGTGACTGGAGGAGGAGGAGGAGGAGGAGGAGGAGGAGGAGGAGGAGGAGGAGGAGGAGGAGGAGGAGGGGGAGCAGCCTCGCGCCTGCCCCGCGCATGCACCGCGCCGGCGCCCCGGATCCACGGCCCTCGCCATGGCTCCAGACCCAGGGCGCCAGATAAGCAGAGGTGCAGGGCACCCCGCGCGCTGGATCGTGGCCTTGTCGATGCCGCTCGTGATGTCGCTCTTGATGTCGCTGACCGCCCTAGTTGCAGCCTTCGCGACTGCCGCCAGCGCGCCGTCGGCGCCCGTGGAGATCTGGTCGTCGGGCGCGCCGGCGGGGCGGGGCCAGCCAAGGGGGCTCGGACACGGCGCGCCATCGCGGAGCCCCATGGCTGACCCAGAGGCGCTGCATTTGACCCCTGGGGCGCTCCACCCCAGAATAGACCCGGGCATAAGCCCACAAAAGAAATATGAGATGGGAATCCCCCCAGGCGGCTCCTCCTCACTTCGCCCTTCGGGCTACGTCGCCAATTTTCCCCCCTTGTCGCCACGGCTGGGTCCGCTAGCGAGGACGATGAGGCGCAGCGCACGGCGTATCCCATCAAGCAAGACGTCGAGATGCATTGCGATGACATAGAGAAGATGTGGCACAACACGTTCTACGCCGAGTCCCGCGCGGGCCCTGAGGAGCACCCCGCCCACCTCGACACCGAACTGGACGATCCGTGCGTGATGCCAGAGGGCCTGAGGATCTTTTGGCACGCCCGCCGACGGGGAGGAAGTGGCCTCCTCCTCCTCCTCCTCCTCATCGTCATCGTCTTTCTTGCGGCCGTCTGTGGATTCGCAGGCACGGCAGGCACTCTGCATCAGGACGAGTTGCCGGGCGTCGCGCTCGTCGTGGGTGATTTGATGCGGGCGCTTGCCTTAGGGTTTCTTGGTTTCGTCGAGGGGCTGATGGCCTCGAGCAGCAACGCCATAATGATGTCCATCACCATCGGTCGCCTCCGAAGCTCCTTCGACCGGAGCCTGTTCTTCACCTACGGCCTTGCGATTGCCTACCTCGGGGTTGGCCTGGCCGCGGCCGCCTCGATGAGGGCCATCGCGGGCGCAGTATCTGGCGCCCTGGACTCATTCCAGGCAGCGGTTGCCCTCCCAGCCGCCCCAGCCGCATGGGCCGCTGGTTGGACCGCTCAGAACTTCGACTCGACGGACGTTCGGCTAACCTGGCGAGGGGCCCAGGAGCAGGAGCAGGGAGAGGGCAGGAGGAGGAGGAGGAGGAATTGACGACATGGAGGTCGATCGGCCCGCCCGCTGTCGCAGCTGGGTTGTTTCCGTCCAGCCGCACGGCGCTCGTCGGCCTACCTGTGTCGAATGCCACGCGACGCTGGAGGGGGGCACGGCCAGGGCAGCCAAAGGAGCTGAACATGAGAGTAGGAGATACTACCGGCATTGGGAGTGCGCAGTGGAGTGCGTGCGCCATGGTGACCAAATTGACGCTGACGTGGACCCCGATATCACTCAGCAGGCGGCGGGCACGATGAGGTTACGCGCCGCCCAGGAGATTAGCCACCCAGCAGCGGCAAGAGGCGGCGCCGCGGCTGGAAGAGGTGGAAGACATGGAGGAGGTGGAGGAGGAAGAGGAAGCGGAGGAGAGGGCGTTGGAGGCGCAGCTGGACGACCAGCTGTCGCTGGAGGAGCCGCCTCAGGACAAGATGCTGTCCACGGAGCTGAAGAAGAGGATAACGGAGGCGGGGGAGGACTGGCAGTCGCGGCCGGGCCAGCGCCTCACGCATCGCCGTCGCCGGCCCTTCTGTCGAAAGCGTGGCCGTGCCCAGATTTGGCTTGGCGCGGTGGTCTGCGTGCCGCGAGTTCCCGAGTACTTGCAGGCGCAGCACAGGGCAGCCAAATTCGTGCTTCTCGAAGCGTCGGACGCGGCCCCGACGCATGCGGAACAGCTGCGGGTTTGGAAGGCCTCCTCCTCCTCGTCGATCGCCTGTTGCTCTGGAAAGGCTTTCGGCGCGGCGGCGCTTGCAGGGGAGAGGAGCAAGTGAATTCCAAACAGCGGGCTATAGCGGAGCGGCTGGCTCTGTTCTGGTCGGGGCAGTGGGCCGCTTTGGACGCAGCGCTTCGAGGCGCCATTCGCCCTGCTCGCCGAGCTCGCCAGGGGGTGGCGCCAGAGCGCATTCGGCAGTTGGTCGACGACGGAGCGTGGAAGAAATTACTCGCAGGCCTTCGCGGCGGGGCCCCGCTGGTGGATTCCGCGGACGCCGAGGGTGACCTGGGGAACCTCTTCCTCACCGAGCGCTCCTGGGTGTCGAGGCCGTTCGTCGCTGCCACTTTCGACGTCTCCGAAGGGGATTTTCAGGCGGCAGCGGCACGGGAGCTGCGAGAATCCAGTCCGCATGCCGCCGCGGGACGCCACGGAGGCAGAGCCACCCGTTGGCAGGCGGGTTCTGGGGATGAGCGATACGTGTGTCTTCTGGCGCGCGCCTTGAAGAAGTGGCTGGACGGCGAGGCCCCGCCTGAGTTGAACGAGATCTTCTTCCGTCAGACCTTGCACGCCCTGCGAAAGTCCAACGGCGGCATCCGGCCAATCGCGGTGGGAGTTTTTCTGCGGCGCCTGGCGCTCAGGGCCCTCCTGCGCCGGAAGCGGCAAGGGGTGCGCGTCGCCGTCGGCGAGATGCAATTTGCTCTGGGGCGGGCGGCGCGGACGCTGCTTTCACGGCGCTCTACCTGAACGGGGTGTCCGGCGCGAGGAGCTTTCGACGCCGTCATCTATCCTAAGGCACGAGGACCGCCAGCTGGACTCCACGCAGGAACCGCCGACGCACCTGCAGCGGGAGTTGACGGACGCCGCGATGTTTGCGACGCGGGCGGACCTTCTCCACCAGCTTCCAGAAGAGGTGCACAGGGGCCGGCTGCGCCAGGGCGACGGCCCGGGAGCGGGCAGCTTCCTGTGTGCACCCCAGAAGGGAGCGCGGGCGATGGCCGACGGGACGTGGCGCATGGCACTGCGCAAGCGCCTTCTTTGCACCACAGACAAAATCATTTCTCCTGCGACAGCGGAGACGCACTGTCAGCACATTGGGCACCGGGGTGCACGCGGGGCGCTGCTGGGAGGGATCGCCAGCCTCGCGAACGCGGAAGGCTGCAAGGTGGGCGGCGGAGTTGTTGGAGGCCACAACGAGGTGCGGGACATCCTTCTGCGTTTCGCCGCGAAGTGCGCTGACCCCAGGGCGCTCAAGGAACAGCGTCTGCAGAGCCTGCGGGCGGGCAAGCTCGAGGACGCCGATGACGTGGACTCGCCGGGCGACGCGCTCGACGGACGTCGTTTTCAATCACGATGGCAGACAAGTGGCTTTGGACATCGCTATTGCGGGCGCCCATCCGGACCCCGCCAGGGCGCGCGCTGCCGCCGGCCGCGACGGAGCCGCGGCGGCCCAGGAGGTACGCGAGAAACGCCGCCGGCACGCCAGTCTCAACGCGACGCCGCGCGCGTTTGAGATCGGCGGCCGGGCAGGCGAGAGCGCCTTAGCCACCATCCGCAAGCTCGCGGCCATGGCGGGCAGCGACGCCGAAGCACCTGTTCTGGCCGCCAACCCATTGCAGGAAATTAGCATTGCGCTGTATTCTGCCTTAGCGTGGCGAGTTGCCAGCGCCTTCACGCGGCCAGACTCCATCGTCCTGGCGGGCAGCAGGTAGAGAGGGGAACCTGCAGCAGCCAAAGAAAGGCAGGCGGCGCGCGCCGCAGCCCCGGGGGGCAACACGAGGCGCTCTGGCCCCCTCACGCGGGCCCTGCCCCCGCCGGCGCTGTAGCGCTGCGTTGGCGCCACGCGGCCAGTGCTCGCTGGCCAGCCGCCCTGCGTGCCCTGGCGACATCTTTGCGGCCCTGGAAGAAGGCGCCAGCGGCCGTGCCTGGCGACCGGGCCGCAGCGCGCCAGGCGCAGAGACCAGCAGCCACCCGCACACCTGGCCTCCCCTCGCTGCGCGGCGCCCGCGCGGAGCTCGGCGACTGCGCGGAACTTGTCGGGCGCGTGGGCGCCCGCGCTGGGCCGGGCTGGCGCGAGCGGCGGCGCGGGCGGCCGCGGTGCGCGGGCGTGGCCGCTACTGGGTGCCGGGGGGCGGCTGGGGCAGGCGGGCAAACGGCCGTCGCGGCCGTCCGCGCCATCCTGGACGTCGCCGACCTGGTCCCAGGCATGCGAGGTGTAGGCCTTGGCCGGCGCACCCCTTCCTCCTTGGGAATGGCTCGCCGCTGAGCGGTGGGTGGCAACTGCGGCGGGGGGGTGCGCCGGCTCCCGACTAAGGAGCGCCTGCGGCAAGTGGACCCGCGCGGCGCGCAGGAGCAGGAGCAGGAGCAGGAGCAGGAGCAGAAGCAGGAGCAGGAGCAGGAGCAGGAGCAGGAGGAGAGGGAGGAGAGAGGGCGGGAAGGAGGAGGGAGAAGGAAGGCAGCGCACGAGCAGGATTGGGAAGAGGGATAGGGGAGGAAGATGTGCAGGCGGCGGAGGAAGAAAAAACGCTGCTCCCCCAGAGCCAGCGGGCGAAGAAACAGCTCAGAGCGATACTGTCCGCCAGAGGGCACGCGTGCCCCTTTTCCGCCTCCTCCCTTCCCTCAGGGGCAACGCCGGGGGAGGATAGGCCCAGCGGGTAACGCATCGACCCCCCATCGCCCACTCGTCGCCGAGAGTGGCCCGATGTCCCAACCAGCCTGGGACTGCGCGGCGCCGCGATCGGGGGCCCATCGCAGATTCATCGGCGATGCGTCGCCGATCCCGGGGCGACCGGGGGACCTTCGCAGATCTATCGGCAATGGCGATGCATCGCCGATTCTGGGGCCCCACGAGCCAGCAACCCCCCCTAGTCGTTCCCCCTCATTATTCCCCCTCCCTTCCTCCTAGGGTGTGCGAAAGAACAGAGAGTGCTTCGCACGCGGCGCATCTCACCACTGAGGCGGAGGTTCCCCCTCTCCTCCTCCCTCCCCCCTCCTCCCACGGCGCGCGAATGAGAAGAGTGAGCCCTCGCATGCGGCGCACTTCACCACTGCGGAGGCCAGGAGGCCGCTGGAGGGAGAGAGAGAGAGAGAGGGAGAGAGATATCTTTATATGTATAACAACAAAATAGGCCCCCCCCCGCGCCGGCGGAGGGCGGGGGGGCGGCGGCGGAGGCGCGAGCGAAGCGAGGCGGCACGCCTGGAGCAGGGAGGCAAAAGGAGACGCAGGCACAAAGAGTCGTCGCTTCCCAGGAAAATGTGGGAAGATATGGGCAGCGGTGCGGAAGACGAAACTCCAGAAGATAAAGGGAAAAATTATAAGGTGAATCCAGGGGTTTGTGTCTGTTGATCTGTGTGTCCCCCTGGGTCCCTTCACTGGAGTCAAGGCTTCTGGGGTCGGCCACCTCTGAGGACAGCAGAGCCCACCCCCCCACCCCCAGCCAGGGCCTCCACACGGCGGCAAGCCCAGCCAGGGCCCCCTCACCCCCAGCCAAGGTCCCCCACCCCCAGCCAGGGCCCCCGTGTATTGTTCGGCGTCGCGCGCGTATTTTTCGCAAGATGACCTGCAATGCCCCTCGAGGGCCCTCGCTGGGGGAAAATGTACACGTCCGAGCGGTTCCAAGTTGAAAGTATGTGGTGGCCTCCCCCCCTCGCCTCCCTTAGCGGAGAGCCTGAGGGAAAGTGAGAAGGGGCGGGCCTTCGCACAAGGCTCGGAAGTCCCCTGGCCTTCCGAGAAGTTTTCTTAGCCTTCCCAGGAAACACTAAAAACTTCTCCGGGGGCCACAGCGCTTCTGAGAAGTCCCAGCGCCTTCTGCGAAGGTCTTCTCCTTCTCGCTTCCCCCCCTCGCTCGTCGCCGACCCACTCCTGGCCCAGTGATCCACGGGGTCCAGGCTGGGGGTGAGGGTGGCTTCCACCACGAGAAACAGCTCCCATCCACATCTGGGACCCCCCTGGATCACCAGGTCGGGAGTGGGGAGTCTGGCCAGGGGATAGTCGGAAGGGACTAGGACGAGGGTAAATCCGTTTCAGAGCGTTCCGGAACGCTCTCAGAGCGTTCCAGAACGCTCTGAGAAGGCCGCGGCGCCCGAGGCATTTTCCAAAGCCGCGAGATCTCAGGGGTTCTCGATTTTATCCTCACCCGACGTCATCCTCCTCCTGGCTTCGTCTTATGCGGGCGGCTGGGTGCTTCGTGATCCTGCGTCGCGGCTCGGGGTCTGCAGCGGTCCCGGCCACGGGGCCGGCGGGGCCGGCGTCTGCACCGTCGTCTGGGCGGCCGGAGGCGTGGTCTGGGCGGCCGGAGGCGTGGTGCCAGGCGTTGTTTTTGTGTTTTCCATCGGGGCACCGTGTGAGCAATGTTGTTGCTCTTCTTCGTCACCTGCACCGCGACGGCAGCACCTACACAGTTCTTCTCATATGTTTCTCCTTCCCTCCATCCCTCCAGCATCCTTCGTCTCTCCCTCCCATCCACTCTCCCATCCTCCCCTCCACGACTCTCCTCCTTCTGTCTCCTCGTCCTCGCACTGCTCCTCCTCCCCCTCTCCTCTCTGAGCCTCTCCCTCCTCGGCCTCCTCCCTCCCCCCGAAGCGAGAGCGTGCCACACCAGGGGGCCTGGGAGGCCCCGAGACGGCACCGCGTCCCAGCTGGCTTACCCTGAGAGTCGACGTTGCGGCAAAAATACAGCACCGCGAAAGATCATGACCAGAGCCCTAGAGAGTCCAGCTTTCTGCGGGATCGATATGCCAGGGCTTCTCGGGCCCGAAGCAGTGCAAAATCGCCAGTTGCGAAAGAATTCGGACGCCAGGATCTCAGGGGTATCTCGACATCGCCGCTGCCGAGCTCTCCCGAGTTCTCCCCCTCCACCCCGCGCGTCGCGCCCCTGCGAAAGCCTCAAGAGGCGACCTTGCAATAGAAGGGCCTCGCCTTCGAGGATCGAAATAGTTGGCATCTCTTCCTCTGCGGAAGGCGGCGAAAGTAACACGAGGGCAGCTCCGACAGCGGAAGCCGGCGGAAGTAACCATCGGTTTCCCAAGAGATTACAGCCGTTTTGGGTTCAGAGTTTTAAGAATCGTCATATAGATGTATTCCTTTTCCTATATTTTTACAAGCCCGGGCGGGGGGAAAACCCGTCCCCCCCCCCAAAACCGGACTCCCGGGATCTGGGGTTTTGGGACCCTCTGGACGGGCCTCGAAGCGGCCCCGCGGGCCTCGCAGGGCGTTTTGCCAAGCCTTCCCAGCACACCTAGGGCGATCAGGGGGGTCATCGGAGACGTCCCAGAGACCCCCAAGACAGCACAAGAGCGCTCCAAGAGTGTCCGACGTGACCTCAAGATGGCCCAAAAGGCCTCCAGGACGGCCCCAAAGAGGCCTCCAAGAGCACTCCCAAGAAGGCCCCAAGAGGCACAAATCTTTTATTTTCTGTTGGTTTTTGCTGAATTGGGGTATTTTCCTCTTTTCGGTTTCCCGACGCTCCAAGACGGCGGTCTTCTGGGCGTCCGAAGCCGCCTGGGAGGCTCCAACATCGCCCCACAACCATCCGAAAAGACTTCCAGGCAGTCCAAGAGAGCCCCAAAACGGCACCACACGGTTCCAAGATGGCCCTCAGAGAGCCCCATGGCGGCCCAAGATGGCCCCAAGACACCTTCCGAAGCATTCCAAATCGTGACCTGGTCGTTCATGGAGACCGCGGTTGGAGGCAGGGTGGCCCGAGGAAGTCCCAGAGGCCCCCAGAATACGCCCAGGAGGCCTCCAGAAGGCCTTAAGAAAGCCTGAAACAACTTTTGTGAGGCCCCTAGAGGCTCTCCAAGGAGGAGCCTCCGCAAAAAAGAGCTGAGGGGGATGGGGAGAATGCGCAAGGTACGGCGAAAATAAGGAAAAGGAAGCATGGAGGAAGGATAACGAATAACAATATTATAGCGGCGATGCCGGAAAAGGCAACAAGGAGTTATCTCTAAATTGTCGTTTGACCTTCCTGCTATTCCGCCAGCATACCAAACTTCAAGGACCAAGGTGCATGGCGCGAAGCGCCACTGCAACCTTGTGTGTATATCTGTGTGTATATCGGGAGATCCCGGGCCCCGGGCCCCGGGCCGGAACCCCCCTTGTATATAGGGTGCGGCCCTCTCCCGGGGCGCCCTTCCGGCGGCCCCCGCGCGTTCCAGCCCGCCCAAGAGGGCTCCAGGAGCGCCGAGAGAACCCCAGGATCGCTTCAAGACCGCCAAAGATCGCTTCCAGAAGGGTCAAGAGGCGCTCAAACCGCCCCAAGAGGCCTTCAAGAGGCCCCCCACGAGCGCCCCGGGAGACCAAAATAGCCCCATTCCCTTCGTAAAACGTACATTTTTACGATATCAGCTCCCTTAGCTGTCGGAGCGGCCAGAAAGCCCCACGAGGCGCCCAAGGACGCTCCAGGACGACTGAGGACAGCCCCAAGACGGCCCAGGAGGGCCTCCCGGGACGCTCCTCCGGCGGCCCCCGGGCTGCCCAGTCCGCCCAAGAAGGCTCCAAGAGCGCCGAGAGAACCCCAGGATCGCTTCAAGACCGCAAAAGATCGCTTCCAGAAGGGCCAAGAGGCCATCAAACCGCCCCAAGAGGCCTCCAAGAGGCCCCCCAAGAGCGCCCCGGGAGACCAAAATGGCCCCATTTCCTTTGTAAAACGTACATTTTTAGGATATCGGCTCCCTTGGCTGTCGGAGCGGTCCGAAAGCCCCACGAGGCGCC